AGGGGGCATTTCCCCACTTACTGACCCCTCCAGCTGGGAGAAGCTGCACCGGGGACCAGTCCCAGTTCACACCTACACACACGTCTGTACTAGGGGTTTGCACCAGTGCAGCTACATCGGTGCAAGGAAACCCTGGCAGACATGGCGTGAGATACTGGTGTGCCAGGGGCCGTAACCCCTCCCCTCACTGGGGTTATGGATCAATAATTACAGGGTCACTGGAGCAGGGGAGCTGGACTCTGGGCTCCCAGGTGGGGGCCGACCCACTGGGCTGCAGAGTCATTCTCACTCCCACGCTCTGGCCCAGTGCCCATGGCAGTGTTTAGACACAGGGGGAAGTCATCATACACCCAGAGCCCAGCGATTTGAGCCCTCATGACATCACCTGGGGGGACTGAACCTGGGGTTCCCAGGTGAGGGCCCAGCCACTGGGCTAAAGGCTAGAAGGGAAGAAGCAGCACCTTTTTCTGTTCATTGAAACTTGACAGCAAACGTGAATAGTTTCTGTTGACTCGAAATATAATTTTGCAGCAAATAAACTATTTGTCCAAAACATTTCACCCAGCTCCACTGCAAACCTGCAACTTAGGAGCCCAAATCCCAGTGACCTGCAGTGAGTGACTGTCAACACCCCCAGAAATGCACAGGTTTGGGCAGGGCAGGTTCAGGACATCAGCTATGAAACACTCCAGAGCTGCTGTTAAATTTGCTCTTGGCAGACAAATGCCCCCTGAGGCCCTGATCTCACCCCCACAAATCAGGCTGAAAATGGAGACTCGGCTCCAGCCTGAACTCTCTGCCCAGAGCGATTGTCCCATGGTGGATAATGGTCACAGAGACCATCTCAGAGCCCCAGGGGCTCAAGTGTCTCCATTTAACACCTGCGCCATCCACCCCCCTCGCTCTCATTAACCAGCCCTGGGTCAGACACGCTGGGAACTTTCACACCCAGACTCTGGAGACACTTTGGGTCCTTCTACACAACCTGCAGGAGCGAGTCTCGGAATGGGGTGGACAGATTCAGGCTTATGGGGCTCCCTCTTTGGAATTAAAAATAGCCGTGTAGATGTTCAGGTTCTGGCTGGAGCTCAGGCTCTGAAGCCCAGGGTGGAGCCAGATCTGCCCCTCACAGCGCACGCAGGGACATTGTCTGGGTCTACGTCCCCTTCACCCCCTTCCTGGGATGGGGAACAGCAGCCCCAGGGCCTCTCCCTTCACCCCGAGGGCAGGGGAGTGAGAGCCTCGGCCTCCTGGGCATTGGGGCCTCCCAGCACCAATTCCTGGGTGAGCGTGAAAGTGTCTCTACCCAGAAAGCTCTGTGCACCCGGCAACTACACAGATGTGCCTGTGGATCAGGATCCAGGATGGTCCTCTCCCCAGGAGTGATGGAAACTCCCTAAAAGTAGAGGGGTCACCCAGTCGTGCCAGCCCTTCTCCCCGAGCTCCTGCCCCTGCACTGCCCCTTCTCCCCGAACCCCCATCCTCACATCGCCCCTTCTCCCCGAGCCCCGGCCTTCACACTGCCTCTTCCCCGTCAAGACCCTGACCCCCTGGTCGCTCCTCTCTGCCCCCTCCCCCCCATTCGCTCTCCCTTACAGCCGGTAAAAAGTGGGAGGCCTAGCCCTCCTATTAGTAAAAGTGATGGGGCCATGCCCCCCTGGTCTCCCTCTTCCAGTGCCCTTTACTCACCCCTGCAACCCTTTGGGGCAGTGTCAGTGAGTTCAGTGCTGGGGGTACGAGTGGGGTTTTACACCCTGGCTGCTGGAGCTCTGTGTATCGAGGGTACGAGGACATCACAGTGGCCATGGGAGCCCCGCACTGTCCTGCCAACATGGCTCAGCCCTGACACCTGCTGGAGCCTCTCCCTGGGGAGGAACCGTCCCTGCGACTCCTTCAGGCCTTGCCCTCCCTGTGGAGGTGGCTGGTAAGGGTGCTGTTAACGAGAGTTATGATGTGAGCTCCTGTGCGCTGGGAACCAGACTCTGAGCCTGGGCTGAGGTCAGTGACTGGGGAGTGAAAGGCCCCAACTCCCATCACGGTCCCCTTGAGCCAGCTGGTTCCTCTTCCCCATGCAGTGCGACACCAGCGATGCTCACACTTGGTGACACCCCCAGTGCCCCCAGCGGGCAGGGCGAGGGCCTGCCCAAGGAGCAATGGGCGCAATCTACAGCAAGGGAGACTGAGGCTGGAGAGGAGGAAACACTTTCTAACTCTCAGGGCAGTGAAGCTCTGGACCAGGCTCCTAGGGAGGCTGTGGGATCCCCGTCATTGGGGGTTTGTAAGAACAGGACAAACCCCTGCCAGGGATGGTCTAGGCCCTGCCCCAGCACAGGGGGCTGGATTAGGTGACCTCTTGAGGTCCCTTCCAGCCCTGCATTGCCATGAGTCTAGGTTACAGCTGTTCAGGGGCTGGGCCGAGGGCCCTGGGGGGGTCTAAGCATGGTGTGTGGCACATCGCAGAGTTAACAATGCTGAGAGACTGACTGGTTTCTTTGCATCAGTTTCCACCAGAAAGGTTGCTGGGGAGAGACCTGCCCTGGAGCTGCTCTGTTCAGGAAATAAAGACCAGGGATCGAGGAGTGAAGAGGAGATACTGGAACAAACTGACAAACTAAAGAGCCAGCAGCCACCAAGAGAGCTTAGATCCCTGCAAGATGGCAAATCCCAGGAGCTCTCAAATGACATCACATGATATGGCTGAACTGCTAACAATAATATGCATCTCTCATTAAAATCAGCTACACTTCTGGAGAATCGGAGGGTTGGGAATGTTGTAGCCAACTTAAAAATTTTGGTAGGAGTAATCCTGAGAATTACAGCCCAGTGAGCCTTACGTCAGTACCTGCTAAACTAGTTGAAACTAAAAGAGAATTCTAAACCAGCTCTATGAGAATGATAGGATAAGGTCTGACTAGCAGAGCTGGAAAGGAAACCTGTGTCCCACTAACCTATTAAATTGCTTTAAGTATGCCCCTCATCCCCATCCAGCTATCGCCTTAGCCAGGTCACTTGTCCCCAGTCCTTCCAAACTCCTCCCCCCACTGCTGATCTAGGGTGACCAGATAATAAGTGTGAAAAATCAGGACAGGTGGTGGGGGGTAATAGGTGCCTATATAAGAAAAAGCCCCCAAAATCGGGACTGTCCCTATAAAATTGGGACATCTGGTCACCCTACGCTGATCCCACTCCCGTGCAGAACCCTGTTGATTTTGGTGAAAACCAGAAACATGGAAAAATGGATTTTAGTAGAC